ATCTATGGATTCCCAATATATAAATGCCGGATTAACTTCAAGTATATTTTTCGACTTGTCACATTTATACAACTTTGCATCAGAATTAGAATAGGAAATGTTATTAGAAATGCTATACTTCAGATATATGTATGAAAGATAAACACATGCAGAATGGAATTTGCATACTACCCAACTCTAATTGCTTTTGTACATGTAGAGTAGATGCAATGGTTTAATAGTAATAAATGAAGACAGAAAGACAAGGCGCACATGTAAAACAATACTATATGGCCAAATGAATTAATAGGGTCACTTATAAAATAATACGTCTATAGGTCACAATTACATATGAGAAGCACTGAGTTATTAGGAGGATTAAAATGACTAGTTAGTCACTTTCTCTATGAGTTATTATTGTTGTCTATGTTACCTATAGATTCAGGGCAATATATACGAAGATATGACACCATAAAAGAAACATGCTTTTGTCCACTTGATGTTTAGAGCATAGGTAACATAAACAAACACCAAATGCAACTCTAAAAAGTATATTTCTAGCAGCGAAATCGGTTCAACAGTATAAAAAACGAAATACACAATAACAAGCAAAGGAGGACAAATACCAATCATACGTCATATCTAACTGAATACACCAGTTCACAAGCACGTTCAAAAACATTTACATTTGAAGGACAGAAAGACGAAGACCTACACATTGTCCAATGAACATAAACCTCTGGAAACATAACAGCCTTCTGTCTTGACTATTAAAAGGCTTTACCCTAATCTTTGGATTCAAAAATAGTTAGCAATTAATCTTTATGTGGCTTAAGGCATTTTCAGATAATAACAGCTAATCACAAATGAGTTTTAAATATAACTCCTCTAAGTTTAGGTTGCATAACGAAGTTTTAGAAAATCAAAGATTCGTTTTCAGCTCCATGTGGTAGGAGAACTCATGATCTTGAAATTTAGCCTGGATATTTTCATAGCTTCTAAGAGCACTTCAAACTGACTTTGGAACCTGAGTGAAAGGTTGTTGGAATCCTTGAAGTATGGAATCAGCGTCTAAACTGTAATTTCGCCTTCTATCATGATACCTATCAGAATTATTTTTAGGCTCTTTTTTCGTCGTTAGACGCTTACATGAAACCATTTTCAATTCCTTAATTTTCAAAAAGGTACAAATCATAAGACACTACTGGTAGCTGCTGGAGGGGCAGGATGACTGTAACTTTATAAGACAACAGTGCCTATTGAGTTTAACGTTATGACCGAATAGTCTTTTCGTGACATTTTGTATACAGTTGATCCGCTTCTACTTATGAACTAGACTTCCAATCATTTTATTCGTCTGTGAAAAGTAAACGGATGATAGCTCATCAGCTTTGATATTCTGCCGGTTGAGAACCGTCTCTTTTCTTATTATTTAAGCTCAACCTTATTTTTCTCAAATAATCGATAAGATTAGAAAAGTTTCGAAACATAAATAACCAAAGAAAATGATCGGGACCAGAACTCACCTTCATAGTGCCAGCTAGTTAGTAAAAGTGGGATGTGACAATTGCTCCTTTGTTTGATGCACAAAAAATACACTAAAACAAGGCCATAGTTCATAGAATTTATTTCGTAACATATTCCAAGAAATTATGAAAATCTTGCTAAAACTTTAATTCGTAACTGTATTTACACTTCAAACGAATTAATCTTTGTCGATTTAGGATTTCACTCCTTAAAATTTCAATTATCTTAATATTCTGATGAAGCTAAACTTATTATATAGCATATAGTTGAACAACAAGAAAAATAATACAGTGAATTCCCCATATTCTGCAAGTAATGTCGTTCTCACTCTGCGTAAGAATAAAAATATCTTCTTGATGTTCCATGGGAACAATACACGTTAGCTGAAGTTAATGTAAAGTATGTAATTATTATTATTATGTTATTATAATGAGCTCATATTTACTCAAGAATGACGGTGCTTGAATTTAATGATAGTAATTTTATTAACCATACTATAAATCAGCTGCTTTACAAATCAACGAAGTTACCAACATATTTTGGGGATAATTTTATAAGAAGATCACTGAAATACTCTATTTTATAGGTCTATTTTCCACAGTATAAAATTCAAATAGTTCATTATTTCGATTGAACTTTGATTGATTGGCAATTGCTAGGGTTATTTTCCGATTTCTGTTATATCTACTTGTAAGTAGTCATGATAAATTGTGTAAATAAACATGTCTGTTTTACTTGTCTTGGCAAATTTCAGTTGTTTGTAAATTCACAAACAGTGAGTGAACTGACTAGCAGTCCATTAAAAAAGTTTATGGCACAAGTCACGTTATAAACTACCTGAGTGAGAAACGCTTATATGGAGAGTGAGGTTGATTATCTTTAAAAATAATAAATAGATATGGGATTAATAGTTTACTCAAGTTACATGATTGGAAAGTTCAATAAATCTTTACAATAGTTATCTTAACATACTGTATCAAAAAAAGATGACATTTATGTGCTTAAATTCTGTCGATGTCATCGAGGAAGTGTTTAGCTTTGTGTTTCCAAACTTAAGAATTTTTTCAGCAAACTCCGAAGTTTGTAATTATAGATAAACATACTCTGAGTGATTACATACTTCATCAAGAACTTAACCCATAATGATTGTTAAATTAATTACTGATCCATCTTTTAAGTCAAAATTTATTTAACCATATTACTGTATATTTACCAGGCTTCTTCAAACTATAGTGAAGTTATCAAAACATTGTTTCTTATACTTGAAGCTTATTACTTTAAACCTACTTTCTCAAACGACTGAAGCATAAAGTGTAAACTGTCTTTTACAGAGCATTGTGATGCATAAAATAATAAATGATTGTTTCCTATTCTAGTGAAAACTAAAGCATGGTAACACATTCATCGGCCGAAACAAAGATGAAATATAAAATGCTTTATGAATTTCATCGTTAGCTAATAACAAGGCGGCCTGCTTGAGCATCTGGGCTACCTGTTCCTGCCATCGAAATATTTCAACAAGTTATCTATTTTTGTTTGTTTTAATATGTCATTATGTCTATTAATCGCATAACCTATTCTGCTGCGTTTCTAAAAAGTGTACAACCTTTCGTTGTCAAAGTTATAAAAAGCTCAATAAGAGAGAATGTGGTTGCTGGCAACATACAACGAAAAGAATGTACATTATTCAGATGTTCATTTACTGGACTGTTAACATCTAACTGGCGATCACTCAATATTTATCGCCAGGACCGACCAGGAAGAAAGAAACGGAAACTTGTTGAAATACTTTGCGCTGAGAATTCTATATTGTACTAAAAATATAATATTGAATAAAGCTAATAATAATAATAATGATTGATTGGTCTTCCAAGCCATTGAAATTTAAAGTTAACTCTAACGTTATATGAATACGTGCAAAATGTGGTGTCAAGCATTAAGAATGGTACTTATTTTAAAATGGGTGAAGTTTAACTTTCTTCAAGCCCTAAGTTCTTCTTTTATCGATTTTTGATACTAAATCGCCTTAACTTTGGAATGATGTAAAAATTAGTGACTGATATACTATTGATATCACTATAAACTTATCTGAGTTTTATTTATGGAACAATAACAGTTTTATTTGCATAGATTGATTTTATTAGATTATAACATATAGAAACTCCGTATAAACTGTTATTCACTCGACAATCTGAGTGACTTTTATTAAGCTTATATCACCACACAGCTTTCATTGTCTGGTTAATTCGACAGAATTTGAGGCCACCAAATAACGGGGAGTTATTTATTCAGAATACAATAAGGAAGATTAACTTGTAAACGCCACATGATATGGAGTTAGCTTTTACCATAGATTGGTGTGGACTAAACAACCATAGTAAACCAGGAAATATGGTGGTCTCATTTGTGAGGGGATTGAAATTCGCAGATTATAGCTTCTCACCAGAACTTCAGTTACTTTATTTCAGGTTACTCAATAATAATCAATTGTTTGTTATTTAGTCAAAGAGTGTGGAAATTAGTTCACTTCAAAACTGTGTGCATTACCGATTGGCGTCAGCGTTTTGAATTCAATTATATTTAGGTTCCTGGATGAGGAATACTGAGAAGCTACAAAATAGGACAAGGCGTCTTTCCAGTGTTTCCAGGTTTCTAAAGGTTTATTACTTAGTATTAGTTTCTGGTAAATAGAAACTTCAACTTTTCACATCATTTCGCTATATTATATTATTTATCTTTCGTATTTCGTATTTCCTATCCACTTATAAACTCAGTTATAATATTATATATATTACAAGTAAAATTTACTGAGAACTGTCAAATAACAAGAAATCTCGGTCCAGGGTATCCTGTCAATTACCATATCAGCATAGTGCACCCAATGTTTAGTTGCTATATTGCAAACTCGTTAAGAGATTTTGATCATCAGTAAAAGTACTAGACAAACAATAACACTGGTCACCACTCAATAATCAACCAATTGTACATTACTGATGTTTGTGTGTTGAGCATTGAAGGGTACTCCTAATGATTTTTTCAAATTTAAATAACAAATAAAGTTTTTATTTTGTAGAGTAAATCTGATCTGGCATTAATAGAAGAGGTACATCATTCCATGTCATTCTTACATTTTTTCTATATTGTAATCATGAATAGACAAAGAAAAAATGTATGACATATATATAATAACCAGTATTGTTCATATTCATAATAATAATAATTGTAATAATAATAATAATAATGTTGTTCGAATACGTATAATCAAAGTATTTACAAATCTAGGATAAATAATCTGATAATATGGAAACAACAGTTATAAATAGATAGATCATATGAAATAACACACCGATTATAAAACAAACAAAATTTGTTGTATCTGTGCATATACATGAAATTATAAACATGAACATAGGCATCTAACAATAATATATATATGACAATAGTATATTGATATGAAACCAATATTCACCTTTAATTGTATTGTTCAGTTTGGTTTATGATTCATTAATTATATCATGTGGATAAAATTCCAGTATAGAATTATTTTTTATGTCAAAACGTACACCGGGTCTATTAGAACGATTTGATGTTAATTTATCTTTTGATTGTGTATAAAGTTTACTTTTTAGTGTAGATGATTTTGGTCTAATTGTAGTAATATTATAATTATTAGCTGTAGATATATTAGTAATATTAAGATCTTCATCGCAATTTCGAATGACACTATTTGCAACAATGTTAGGTATTTCTGATTTCCAAGAGTTAGCGGAAAAAGGTCTTATAGAAGAAGTTCCTTGATTATTAGTTTCATAAAATGTCAAACCAGTTAGATTAGTGTTGTATATAGTGGAACCAATTTCATCGTTTACTGTCACGTTCAATGTTTTGTTAGACACTTTGCTGTCTGTCTCTGATTTTGCAAAACTTTTAGGGCGTTTAAGTATCGATTTTATGGGAAAAGAGTTGGTAATAACGAAATCACAGGATGATAAGTTTTCATCCGTATATGATAGATCATTCTGAGTCATTAGCTTAGTTGATGAGGAAAATCTATAAGGCAGCTGTTCAGTGTTATTTGATTTTGAAATCGATAAACATTTACGTGGTTCACCATGCATGGACGTCTTCTCGACTTCATCACATAAGATGGATCTCTTTATTTCATTAATATGATTACCGGAGGGGAACATTTCCCTGGATTCATCTTCCACAATTATGGATTCGTTCACACTTGGAGTATTTGAAACATTTTCATCAAATATATTGTCAGGCTGAATTTCGTTATTCCGTTCCGCAATAAATTCTAATGATTTATGTGTTGAATTTGAACTTGACTGGTCATTTTCACATGAAATTAACTCGGATTGCAAAGTGTCATCTGAATTGTTATTCTTATTTTCACTAGTCGTAGACAAAATTAAATGTTTCATGTCTAATTTTGCACCAATTCCTCCGGAGTTACATAGTTCATCAACTTGTGATAGTGATTGGGATTCTTCGGTATCTGGATTTCTAAATACTACTGATATCTGATCATCGGACATTAGAAACTTAGAGGCTACCTTCGTAAACTCTGGTGATTTACATAAATCTCTTAATTCTTCTTTTGGTGGTATAACAGAGTCTGTTTTATCTTCTTTTGCTGAAACTTCGGATATCATAACTGCATTTGCTGTTGTTTCAATGATTTCTACAGGTTCTTTTTCAATGAAACCACATTTTGAGCTGTTCTCGTGACATACATTGACATCTTCCTCAATTATTATTATATCATTGGATTTTATTGCTACTGGAAGCTTATTTTCCACTTGACTCGGTGCATTACATTTCAGTTTACTATCATTATCATCTGATGCTGTGATATTTTTGGTAGTGTTTTGATTAGCATTATATGTAGGGATAAAATCTATTCGGATTTTTCAAAAAAGGGTTTTACTTGTTCAGATTTATTTAATGGTGTACCAAGTTTGGGTTTACCTGATTTTTTTGGTGACGAGGGATATTTGAAAAATTTAATATTTTGAAAACTAACAGGAGTTACAGATAAAACAGAAGTTTTTGATAACTGTTTGTGCATATCTGTGTCAGACTTTTTATTCTGAACGATCGAAGAATGCTGATTTGTTGTAGTTAATTGGTCATTCAACTTTCTTGCACTATTTAAAGTTATATATTCATTGGGACTGGTAGTTGTAAAGAATTGCTGTGTAGGTTCTTCAAAGATGTTTCGTATGCGACTGTAATCTGAGTGATCATGATCTACATTCAATGTATTTGTGATTCTGTTTCCATATCTGATTGTTTTATCGCTTCTATAAGCAGATGAAACTCTACGAGGAGGTTGAGACTTTTGTTGTAGAGTATCCACTAGTGAACTGCGAGCTTTCACGGCTGATCCCCTTCTAGTACACGGGTTAGAATTTGTCATCTTTTTACTTACGTTTTCACACAAGGATGGTGTTGCAGATCGCTCATGCAATTTGCAGATTTTGCCGCTACAGTCAATTGAATTCGACCGTTTCACAGAGGAGGAAGTGGTGCCAGGCAGTAGGGTGGAAAATGAATTTTCTTTCGAAAAACAAAGATCAGTACTAGTTAGTCGTCTTGTAGATAACGGAGAAGAAACAGTCATGCAGGATTTGATATTTTGTGACTCCTGGGGTGGTCTTTGTAGAGATGTTGATCTTCCAAATGTGACTGCTGAATGTGGTCTTGTCAAGTAGTAAACACGCAATGAACCTAAAGGGCGACTTCTGTTTCCATAGATAGAATGCATATTATTTATTGCATGTCTAGAACAAAATTGTTGAAATAAATTATTACTACATAATTGTGGGTTGGATGATCTCCTAGTTGAATTATGTTGGAATACAGTTGTCTGTGAATCAAAATTTGTTACATTCTGATAATTGGAGTCACTGTTAGACCGTAAGATATTAGATATGTTAGGACTTGTTAATACGGTTGATATGTTAGATGATCGTAACTGTTTTACATTCGATGATTGTTGACTTGTATAGCGTACTCCCCCAATGGATTGTTCATATTCATTCATTCCATTATTCAAATAACTTGGATGATCAACAAATGATTTCCATAATCTTTCATTCCACCAAGATGCATTTTCCATGATTCATATAATTTTTATATTTATTATCCAGGTAAATTTTACTTGAATTTCAATAATTACATCAATAGTCTGTTGAATAATATCTTCCTATTTAAATAAAGAAACTTTTACATTATTCCAACATATTTTCTGTTTAAAACAATATTGAACCAACTTGGTTGTTTAATTTCTTTTTTGGTTTTTGTATTTTTTACGAATATAACAATCTTGTTTAACCTCCCGATGAGTGTCCTACAACTGACCTTATTTTGATTACAATATTGATTTAATATTTATAGATGTATTTGGTACACATTTAAATCTATAAATTTGCTATGTAATTTGTTAATTTTGAGTCGTATATAACATTACTTTAGTTAATCTTTCAATGTTTGGAGCTTTCTGGGACGTTTTTATTAATAATAATATTATTATTATCAAGAAATTCTATAATTCATCAAAAAGTCTAATTTGTTTGACTATACTATGACCCGCATTATGAATCATAAATATGGTATAATAATGAGTGTTACTAAAGATTTTTTTACATATTTTCGTCAAATTTAATCGTGCAAAATATCTGATAAACAAGAAAAATCCATCGATTTAAATAGATGTGTAAAACACAATACTTTAGACTATCAACATTCATTGAAATATACTTCTAGAAGTAAGAAGTAGATGATGTAATATTTCTTATTAATACATGATTTGTTTCTTCAGAAGGTCAGTGGAAGACATGAGAACCAAGAAAGGAGCTGAGATACCTTCAGATCATCACCTGATGGTTGTCCAGATGAAACTGGAGCTAAAAAAGCATTAGACCACTGGACAAGCAGCATTACATAGGTTCAATACAGACTTCCTTAGAAATACTGACAAACTCAACGAATTCAACATAACTCTCAACAACAGGTTCCAAGTCATACATGATCTACTGGTACAAGAACAAACTACTGTGGAGGACAAACGGAAACAGATCAAAGAAGCACTAACTTTAACGTCTCAGGTGGTTCTGGGCCTTAACAAGCATCGTCGTAAGAAATGAATCTCTATGGAAACCCTGGATAATATTCAAGAAGTAAAGAACAAGAAGACAGGAACTAAGAACAGCTGAACACGAGCAGAGAAAGTCAAGGCACAAGCTGAGTACACAGAAGCAAACAAGCAAGTAAAGAGCATTAAAGCCGACAAGCAGAAATATGTGGAAGAACTAGCAACGACAACGAAAAATGCTACAACAGAAGGAAGTATGAAATAACAATATGATGCAACGAAGAAACGGGTAAGGTAATGTAGTAAACCAGAGAGACTGGTTAAGGAAGAAGAAGGAGGTGAATCAATCAGTGAGATTCAAGAACAGAATAACGGGTGGGTAGAACACTTTGAGGAACTCTTGAATAGGTCAGCTCCATTGAATCCACCGGACATCGAGGCAGCACACACGGTCCATTCTACCAATGAAACCCCATCAACGAAGGAAAAAATCAGGATGGCCATCAGACAAATCAAGAGCGGAAAAGCAGCAGGACCTGACAATATACCAGCTGAAGCCCTGAAAACAGACACAGAAGTAATCGCAAACGTGTTACACTTTCTATTCAGGAGAATTTGGGAGAACGACGAGTGACACTGACAGTCTGGAAAGGAGGACGCATCATTAAGATACCAAAGAAAGGAGATCTGAGTAAATGTGAGAACTACACTAGCATCACACTCCAGACAGTACCAAAAAAGGTTTTCAATAGAGTGTCGCCGAATCGGATAAAAGATTCAGTAGACGCCCAACTTCAGAATCAACGGTCCGGATTCCGTAAGAATCGGTCGTACATAGACCAAATCTTGACATACAGGTCATCTCTGAATTAAACTCGTCATCAAAGATCGAGTTCCTTGATTATAAAAAATCACTTGACAATGTGGATAGGAGAATATTATGGAAACTTCCTCGACACTTTTGAGTACCTGAGAAGATCGTCAACATCATAGGGAATTCATGCGACGGAGTACACTGCTAAGCGTGAATGGAGGACAGCTGACAGACTTAGTTCGAGTAAGGACCGCAGTCAGACAAGGCTGTCTACTCTCCTTCTTTCTCTTTCTTCTGGTGGTCGACTGGATTGTGAAGACCTCCACGTCTGAGGGGAGACATGTAATAGAATAGACAACTTGGAGGCAACTAGACGATTTGTACTTCGCAGATGACCTCGCTCTTCTATCAAAAACACACGGACGAATTCAGATAAAGACATTTAATGTAGCAGCAGCCTTTATATCAGTAGGCCTTAACATATACAAGGGAAAAAACAAGATCCTCAAATTTAACACGGAAAACGCCAAACTAATCACACTTGATGAACAAACTTTCGAAGATGTGGAATCTTTAACCTGCCAGGGAAGTATCATCGATGAAGATGTAAACCAAAGGACTGACAATGCACGGGCCGCATTTCTACAACTAAAGAACCTATGGGACTCGAAACAACTGTCAACCAATATCAGTCAGAATCTTCAATAATAAAACGTCAATGCAGTTTTGTTGTACGGAGATGAAACTTGGAGAAATACTAAAACCATCATCAAAAAGATACATGTATTTATAAACGGTTGTCTCCGCAAGCTACTCCATATCGGTTGGTTGGATACCATTAGCAACAGCCTACTGTGGGAGAGAACAAATCAGCTCACAGCTGAAGAGAAATTACTGAAATACGTTGGGGGTGAATAGGTTATAAACTACGGGAATCACCAAAAGCTCATTATGAAGCAAGCGTTAATTTGGAATACTGAAAGAAAACAAATAAGAGGAAGGCCACAAATACACAGTGTCGGGAATCGGAAACAAACATGAAAAGGATGAATAGCAACTGGAAAAGGCTGGAAAGGATTGTCGAGTAAAGAGTTGGATGGAGAATGCTGGTGGGCGGCCTATGGTCCTCCAGGAGGAGTGATAGGCGTAAGTAAATAAGTTGTAAGATCCGTTTTGAATGTTTAGTGTGTGTGAAAATCCCTCCATGTATACACTTGCACTTTGTTCCTATTGATCCCCTTAGTTGTGAATTGTTGATTTTTTCATTACATTGAATTGTTAATATTTGTGTTTTTATTATAGTTTTTATTTTTCTTACGCCCTCACAAAGTTTTTGTGTTTCTTCCCGAACTGCATCTATGTTGTTTTACTTGATACTTGTTCTTGGCGGCAGCCATATTGATTTGCTCCTCCTTTTGTGCGTGTTCTATTCAGTCATGATAGAATAGCGTTCATTTGTTGTGACTGGTAATTTTCCCGCATCTTTTATCAACTTCCTTATTTGTTGTAATTTAGATTTGATTAATTGAACAATTATTGGTTGAATAGCCGGGTGGTAATATTTGTTTAGGTAGCGATTTACATTTAAATTTATGATGAATTATAGAACCGCTATTTACCCGATTACTTGTTTTGATTTTGACGGGCAAGGGCGCGTGTGTAACCTACCTGGACGGCTATTCTTCAGTCCAAACCGTAGTTTGGATTCTACATAAGTTGCTTGAGATGAATATCGCTTTAAATTAACATAAATGTTTATTCCGTGCATCTACTATCAAATATATTAAATACTTGGTTAATGGTAATTGTTCTACCAACATCTGGCTTCATTTACAAATGTACTATCTCCGAACTACCCTATAGATTCACGATTGTATCAGGACCTATGTTGTTACACACACACGTAACTGATCCTAACGTTCGGACAGACCTTGACAACTCAAACAATGTGTAACTTTAAAATCATTTCAGCTTCCTCGTAGCTATATTTTTTCATAGGAAATTGTTATCTTTAGTACGCACACCTCTTTATCCATGTTCTCGCAGTTCTACACTCTTATGTCTCATGTGTGCTTATCTGTGCCTGTGAATATAATAATTTATCCAGTCTCTGTCTCTTTGCTTCACTATGTGCGTTATATGGGCACTTGTAATAAGTAATAGTTTGGGTAGGCACATCTTTCCTTTCTGACTATCATCTCTTTTACTGTCTTCAGGAATCAATGCGTAAAATATGAAAATTCAAAACACTCGTATCCTACTTCTATATCTGCGTTTTTATTAACGGAGTTTTTGAAATATTTATGATGTACGTGAGATCTATTGTAGTGTCAGTCATTATTTTAAGCCCATATATCTTATATTCTAGTTTTCGGACATTCCATTTTATTCATTCTACTTGAGTCATATTTTGACCTTGTCAATTATTCACTTATCAGTCTTGACTGTTTTTATATATGAGCGTATATGTGTGTACACTTCATGTCCCATGATTCATCACATGTCTGTAGTTTATTTTGTCTGCCTATAAATATTGAGTAACGGTTAATTAAAATGGAGTTGGCTTCCCAGCCATCCTCCCTGTGTGTCATTTTGCTTTGCTATGTTTCATTCGCTTCATGTACGAAATATATGTATTCTCAAATCAATTCTCGTTATTCGACTTATTTAATTCCGTTATTGGCTAACGCGAGGACTGAAGGAGGAAATTCGCCGTTCAAAAGTGTGACGGAAATCTCGCACTTAGATAGATTGAAGAGCGGACTGTAAAAAATGTTGGTTTGTGGGCAGGATATAAGTAATATGTAGGCAATATGTAGGTAACTGCAGTCACCAACATGCTGTTGGGTTGCCCACTCACGGCACTTCCTCGGATATTCTCGTTTCATTTTTCTACCCTCCATTCTCCTACAAGATTTGATCCTCATACAAAGGACACGTTCACCAAGTCATGAACAATAACTTGAGTAAATTAAGTGTTACGAGATAAGCTAACAAATTATAGTATGTGACATCCATGTAGTATCTCTAAAAACTGACTGGGCCTTGGTCGTCATTGACTAAAAGTCAGACATTGAACGAATAAGTAATTCCCCTTAAGCTGAAGAAACTGAACTGACATGTTCTCACTGGGCAAGTTGGTCGGGAAGACATTTCTATGGAAGTTGATTTTAAGAGGAAGCTAATGCTACAACTTAGGTCGATTGATTAAAAGTTAGACGTAAGCATCTTTGTAATGTTGAAAATTGTGCCTAAAGCATTTATTCACGTCCTTATTTCATACAGACATTAAATTTTCCATTATTTTATATTGAATGTTGAAAAACGTTGTGTGTTTGAAAAAGGTAACCCCGCGTTCTAGCTGTTCTTTTCCGTGACCTAAATGATGACCTGTTCACTACTAATCTGGTTTCCTCTATCGATGGAATGGAGGACATCACCCTGCGCAAAATATCTACATTACCTGCAATCGCAAACATGCAACTCTATTCCTGATTACTTTGTGTCACTTACGGACACCGAGAAATGTTGGCCTACAGGCAAGGCGTGAGTAACAGTGACGTTCAGAACACAAATTAGCCCCAATCAAAGATAGCTCATCACTCCTATTTGTTATATCGGGAGCCTATTACTAAATTAATTTAACGGATGAATCCAGCCTATATGGAACAGCATCACGCTGTGACGAACTGAGTAGGTGTCTGACGAATTACATAAAATTCAATGCTTATTGAATGCACATCAATAGGGGAAAATGAAAAAGAACAGTTATTCTATTTATTACAATGATTCTCTAAATAATGCTCCAGTTAAGAAAGCTGATTTCAAACAATAAAAAGCTTCCATGAAATCCCAATAATAAATCCTAACGTGAGAATAATCTTATTATGTCTTTTAAATTACATCTGTTTCAGAGAACTAGGTAACTTACTAACTAGGTCCAGTTCCATACAGTTTACATCACAATACTTATTCATCAGATCTTATAACAAGTACACTTTTGTACATGTATTAGCAACGAATGAACGGCTTTGTGTGATCTTTATGTGCAATGATAATTTCTCTGCACATCAGTCTCGCACTAATCAAAACTACCACAGTGTACCTTAGTATATCCTTAGTGATTTCTCATCAATTTGATTACTAGACAACTCGTGATCACTGGAGAACAAATTTGATATTATTAACAGTTGCCAGCTGAAGTTCCATTTCAATTACTTCTGCTTATCACGTCGTAATAGTATATTTATCAAGGATATCACCTAATTGAATATATACCTATTTTCAATATTACACTGAACAAACTTCGGCTTTAGCTCATTTAAACGAATCAAAATGTTATCCAGTTGAGCCCCAAACAGTGTAAATGAAATGTGTGAGCTTCCTTCAAAATGTAATGCACTGCGTTCTTGAGGGTTCGGTAAAACTCCCATTTGTTTTTAATAACAGCATGAGTGTTTTCCACATTCAGAGGGAGCCAAACAAGAACTGCATCAATCTACATAAGAATCCTTTGTTTCATTTCAAAACAGGAAAGAAAGAACAATAATTCATGCCACCTAAATGACTTTAAGGTTTGAGTGTTGAAGTTGTTTGTTGAAGCCACAACTGTAAATAACAAACATAGCGCACTTTACAAAAACTGATATATTGGGATGTATCAATTTCAAGAATAGTTACGGAATTAGCCGTAAAGTTATTCAAATGAAGTTGTCTGGATCTAATATTGCTTCAGCTACTGATGTTCGTCACACTTCACGTGTGAATTATAGTCCGGGTACAGGTGAATACATTGGTTTAACAAAGCAATGGGTTAACCATGTTCCTCTCCATAATTCACGAAATATAAATTCTGGAACTGGTCTCATTCAGATCTACGATGAGGTGCCTCAGAAAGGAGAGCCGAATTACGGCAATTATCTTTCGAGTAAAGTAGTCCCAGACAAAAATATTGTATATACAAATACCCCTCAGAATGTTCAAGGAAAATTCAAAGTAAGCGTTTTCCTGTTATGGAGTTCATAACCGTTAATCTTTGTCTTTGAGTTTTTTAAGAATAACGGGTGTTTTTATATGGATAGATTTTATCTTATTTACAACTGCCTATTTACAATACCTTTGATAACTTATACCACTCATCTTTCTGTAAAAATGTATTCATCAACATTCTTGAAAGGCTTGAAGTTTTACATGATTTCTAGCGGAAATTTATAATACCTTACATCAGGAAAATCGACTACTGTTTCGGATTGAGCCGTACGGCTCACGTGTTAATGACTAATTTTGTAAAAATGCTTGAGAATAAAGTGTTTATATAAATAATTCTATTCTTTGCAACGAGAAACACACTTTCAACGTGAGAATTTAGTGGCGTTTCACTACGCTTATTGAAGTCAGCTAAGTCGCGACCAGATTTCAAAAAGTACGACCTGTCAGCAGTTATTAAATGATATTTTAATAAGACCCGTCTGGTAGTCTCTCATTATATCTCTTATCTCTTTTCAACAAAACAATCATAAATTTAGGACTATGCAGCTAGTTTTATTTGTACAGTTCAATTCTCAGGTTTCTTAATTATTTTGATTTGTTTGTATTATTTACATTACAGAATAACTGCTTATTTTTGCTCTTAACTATATATTAATACTTGATATCTCGATAGTATGTTCAAAAATCGACTTATTATACTTGTTACCTAGCTACCATCAGCTAGTCAGCTTGAACTTAGTCTTCAGGTTCATATGTGTTGGTTGACGTATGGAGATAAATATATATTCAAGTTCGGGGATTATAGTTTATTGAGTTAGTATGATACAGAACAGAAAATGACATTTTGTTAAAAATACTGTGATATTTTTGAACAGGATTCAAACTGTTACTGTAGTAGACAGAAATTAAGTTGTGTTGTAATAAACTAGAAAATTATTGCATTTTTATTTGGTTAGTGGTGAACGAATCTACCCGTTAGAAACTAGAAGTGAGTTGTTTCTTAGTACTCAGGCCACGATCTCACTGAATTCCCTAAATTTTGAGAGATAAGTAAATCCTTCATTAGCAAGTAAGAGAGTAAAGTAAATTTGACCAAATGTGGTCAAAGTTTAATTTAATTTTTTTGAAAATGTATATGCCTTCACATTTATGTCAACGGAAGTTTTTGACTTGCATCACTTGTAGCATAAGCGAGACATCTGTCTGCCAACCAAAGGAGAAGTTTGATGCACAACAATTTCCTCTGTTTTACTCGACGGCTGCTAAACATGATCACTAAAATCAAGAATACTCGTAGGTTACTAGCATTCAATCATAGTTGTCTTTAGAGTGAACAATAATGAAGCTAGGGACTGTACTTCATAAAGATGACAAATCAATTCATGAACTAGTGAGAAGCCTGATAGTAGAACGAGACCGCCGTCTAGTGCTTCCAGGTTGATAAAAATTTATTACTACTGAGAGTTTCGACCTAAGCTCCTTCAGATAATTCAAGTAATAATCATTAAAGCAAAGTTATTTAAATGAAGTCGAAATAGAACGAGAATACCCCACGAATGAAACTAGCATTTTAAGGTGAGATTGATAGTTCTGCTTCATTTTTCATGACAGCCATAGAGTATGCTTAGTGGTTGAAGTGCAATCGAATTCTAGTCAATAGTTCTGTCCATAAGTTCTCTTGATGCCGAACTAGTTTTTACTAGTTTAATTTCTGTTGAGATTCGGGTACTGAAATTGTTTTTTTAAAAATATCATATGTTTATCAATAGAAGTTCACAATCAGGGACACGCTATCCGAAAAGCATCTATCATGCTCCAAAATATTAAATTTATTTACACAAGAGACCTTGAAGTTATCTATGTCAAAAAATCTACTTTTGTGTCATTATTGACAATCGCCTTTTAAAAGGCTACTTCATGCTTGGAAACCACTTAAAGTTTTTACAGTTAGATGTACTGTGACTATTTAATGTATACTCAATGGAAGCATTTCAGTGTTCTCTTCATAAACTATACTGTATTTGTGGTCATACTATCAGTTATCTGAATCAATGTGTGATTGAATGATAATTCTACATAGAAACCTGGTTCTCAATGCATGTCTTTAAAAGATCTAATTTCAATGGACAATCATTTAGAAAGCAGAATCATCCCTATTTCATATTTAGTTCTTGCTGTAAAACTATTGAGATCCATGGGGCTCCAGACAACTGTTTTATCTTAGTGTGGTATTTGTCAAAGGTGTGCTGTCACTAAATCACTTGGGACGTAAGTTCTTATATTCTATCGTCGGCTGGGTAAAGTACCAACGTAAACACTTCCTATATGCCTGTCCAGCCAGCTAGCAAATTGAGGGAACGAAAAATGAGTAGATTGTTTCTATTTCCTGACCAAATGGAGAATATATGTACAACACACTATTAAATATAAAACTCCTCATCCCAAGAAATAAAGTCACACATGTGACCGATCGCGCACCAAGTCTTGGCTAACAGTGTCCACCCATGATCACCCCTCAACTTTTATTTGACCCGTCTGAATGATCGATCGTACCAGAAGTAAACCTCAAACCAGCTGCAAGCTAATTACCTTTGAACACCTGATCTGAGACCGAATGGTTTATACTTTAAGAGTAAGTCAGTTAATGATATGTACCATTATCATCAACGTCTCAATGAGTCACCCGATTGAGATGATCTACACTAGTCACAAATCTACACCAGGACTTCAAAAATTTATTTTGAAGGCAGTTTTTGTTGAGCGTACGACTGTTACACATTAGGCTACGTACAGAATAGAGTAAACATGTTTGTAATCCATATACAGTGTCACTGAACAGCTTAGAGGCATATTCAAAGATCTATAAAGATCCGATATATTTTGTTGCTTTAGATATCAATTGACTTTCTATATGTTTTAACAGTATATTTCTACAATATGTACATTAAAGTTTCAACATTGATATGAAACAGAAACATCGATTTTCTCACCTAAAGTAGTCGATTTTAAGAGTACCTTGAGTGAAAAATTATATTGTCGCACTAATGACAAAAATATCTTAAACCAAGAAGACTTAATTGTCTACTGAGAAAAGTAAAGACTTTGGCTTAGTGGTCTGAAGGCATCTTGTTTGCCAACATAGCTGGATGTTTTATGTTTTTCCACCGGTGACGTCTCAGATATTCACTGTTGTGAAGTTACAAAACATAATGAAATAACTATAGTGATTCTTGATTTTAGTTATTTCTCCAAATGATATCAGTTCGTGATAAAGACCGTTTACACTTTCCACAATTTTCATAAAGATAAGTATTCAAAGTTGTACACAAAAACCTTGTCTTATCTTTATGCTTATTAAATAATATCATCTTGCTTTTTACTGAGTGGTCTATTAGTCTGGTTTATTTAAACTGTTTCTGAAAAAATGTATGGTCATTTTAATGAGGTAAAGTTTAATTCATTCAGGTTTAAATGAAGTATGTACTTCTGCTAAACAGGAAGTTAGTTATGTATGTATTAAATAAAATGTCACCGCAATAGTTTTAGATGATATAACAAATTAACAGAAGAGATAAACTTACAACACTAGCCTAATAATGTTAAAATATTGTCTATTTGTTTTATGTTTACTCCCTTTTTTATATGACGTTTTGCTAAAGTCAAGACACACTTGTGTTTCGTATAATTATTTGAACAAATGGAGTACAGAATTATTAGAAGGCCTGAGTCATGAAATAACTGTGAAACTTCAGCCAAGGATTTACACTATTTTAAGGAATTCAAACAAATTGTTTGTTTGCCAAGCAATTATTAAGTTGAGACTAATTTTATCTTACAAACGCGTTAGTAAATTTTACTGTTTTATTTGGATTTAGTAAATTCTTATTAAAGATAGTTCCAAATTATATCTATTTACAACTATTACATAAGATTCTAGTATATTTCAATTGATACGTTCAGTACGGATCATATTATATTCATCTCATATAACTTGATCATTATTTATTGCAAAAAATATGCAACTGTAAGGCTTCAGTCTTCATCATTAAGTTATTTCCTATGTGATGTCTCAGTTACTTTTTAGAATTTATTGATATATATATATACACCTCTTCCAGGAAATTGTGGCCTTATACTTGTTTGTAGACTCTATTACAGATGTTCCATTTGCTTTTCTTTCTTCTCAAAAACGCTCAGAATAATATAATTCCATTCTGAGTATTTATTTTTGAGCTGTGTTAATGTCATACACCGTCTTCACTCAGATCTATACATCAGCTACTTTAACAGGGATAAAATGTCTTCCCAGATATTATGCACATGAAGAGTGGCATGAATCGAGTAAACCAAATAGTGCTGGTTATAACGTTTAAATTGAAAAAAAGTGAACTAAATGAAATCATTAATTTTGTGAATTTCTCAGAAATTTCAGAAATTTATTGTTGACCTTGATAATCATACATTGTTAATTAGTTGTTTGATTAGAATATCAACATACATTCGTATATAAACTGAACAATAATCGGCGATGTAAAATAATATTTTGAAAGACGATCCTTATCGATCAAAGATGGATTTAAACTAGCAGTTATTGACTCAATAATTGAACTGTATTCAACACGGAACCTGAAAGTACTAAGTTGATTACTATGTTGCCAATGTGAATTCAAATGCTAGAATGAAGCTGTTAACAAATACACCTTGGTTTTCACTAATCACGTATTTCACAACAATCTTCAATGTACATGATTCTTCAGTCAAATAGATCCCTACAAAAGATCTATTCAAACAGTTTAGCCTATAGATAGTCATCTAAAAACAATTTTCCACGATATCGTTTATTGAAGTTTTATGGTTGTACCTATGGTGTACAGCTACAGTGAATGATTAAATCTAAAAGAATTGTTTTCAACATTCTTTAACAGCACGGTAGATTCCTTTTTTGTATAGTTTAACGTTAGTTAACCAGTTGATCTAAGAGTTAAAGTCTCTTTGTGATATCTAGA